CTAACCTACATCGTCCACAAGGGACGACTCGGGAACTCAACTCCTACCCCGGGCAGCTCACCTATCCCCTTATGCCCAGGGGAAGGGTATCAAGCCGTTTGACAGCTGATGCTAGCTGTCAAAACGGCTTTTACGCTGAAACAGGCGGGAGGCAGCAAACAGCTGCGTCCGACGAGGTCGCCTGCCACCGGAAGTCTCCAGCAAGTAGTACTACTCTTAACCACTGCTGCAAATCGCATCCATGAATAGCAGCATATATGATGATCACAATAGAAAAGTGAATCTCATCAAGAATATGAATTCCAGCATGCCAGACATTATTTCAATCTTGAGTTTACTTTTGATTTCTAAATCTCATCTTCCAACCACAAACCTTTGTACTTGTATCATTAGATAATTGGATTCATACATCTTGCTACTCATATTCCCTGACCCTTCTGCCAGTGCCCAAGTAGACCAGGTTGTTTGGCCCATGAATTTGACTTTGCTATACAGTATTGGGCTCTTTATTACAGATAAAAAGATCCCAAACCAAAGACAATAATTGATTAACTGCTAGCGAAAAGTGTAGGACTGTATGCACTCAAGGAATTAAACTCAAAACTTCTTCCTCTTCTGAATGAATGCATACTTTGCACAGAGTTGGTGTCACCAAAGCTAAGTGATTGTTATGTTTACATAATAGCCCCTCTGACTTGGACTCCATTTGGTTCCTGCCTCAGGCTTATGCTCTGTACCTGCTGGAATATTTTTCACAAATTCCAAAAGTTTTTATGTTTTCCATGGAGATAACAGTGTTCAACTGTTCCAAGGCAACTCCAGGGCAAATCATTATGACCAGAGCTTTGCAGCAGGTTTTGAAATTTGGGCAGAGTGGATTGGTGTTATCATAATTTTGGAACTATTCAAAAAATACCTAGGTTAAATAAGTAAAAGTGAGTTTTGAATTGTTGTAACTCAAATAGCTCTAGGCTCCCCTTGGAATACATTCTCAGATAGCCTTCTTTTAATTTCCCCCAGTGCTCAAGATTAACACTAAATAAGCTGCATTCAAGAGAATGCTAGGCTTTCTCATAGCTTCAGATTAATTAGGTAAGCTCTATCTATTGAGGCTCATAAATGAATAATATAGGCAGTCCTTGACATATAATAGATCATTTAGTGGCTGTTTGAAGTTACAATGGCACTGAAAAAATTACGACTGTTTTTCACACTTACAACTGTTGCAGCATCCCCATGTCACGTGATCAAAATGCAGATGCTTGGCAACTGACTCATATTTATGACAGTTGCAGTGTCCTAGAGTCAAGTGATCACCTTTTGAAAGTCAATGGAGAAGCCAGATTCACTTAACTAAGGTAACAACTGGAGTGATTCACTTAACAACTGTGACAAAAAAGGTTGTCAAATGGGACAAAACTGTCTTAATAACTGTCTCACTTAACACAGAAATTTTGGGCTCATTTGTGGTCGTACGTCAAGGACTATCTGTACAGAGTCAACTTTTAAATTTAAAATCTTAGGCCAAACAGCCTTACTGACTACTGCTTTGATACCCTGCTCAATGACTACATTGGACAACAACAATTTTGCTTCCTGAATATCTTGGATATATCTTATATATCTTGACTACTAATCATGAAAATAATCTGTAATTTAACCTATCACATACCATTTTATAGAAATATTCTATTTTTACACAATGGCAATGTACATGCTTCAATACGTGTTGGCTATGTTGCACACATGAAAGAAACAAATGAAAATATGCAACTGTTATTGAAGTACATCCAGTACACCAAGTACAACTGAAATATCCTTAGAGATCTAAAGATCATGGCTCTGTTGCTTGCACTGCAACTTGGATACACCAAGTACTGTTACATATGCAAATTGGACAGCCATGCAAGAGATAAATATACAAATTAAAGGTCATTTGACTTATAGTAAATAATAATAATAATAATAGTTTCCAAACAGGATCAAAAATACATGTATAATATCAATACTAACCAATCATTTAAAATAAGTTTATACAGTATTACTTTTAATCCATTAGCTAACGATTGTTTAAAAAATGTAATCTTTATTTCTGTAGCCTAAAAGATTTAGCCATAGATTACTATAAACTTTGAATTAAATATTTTTAAACTATGAACAATTCATATTTATTAAAGCCATAATATATACATTATACTTTCTCCTGTATGAAGATTAATACTGCTAGTTTGTTTTAACTCAATAAACCCAAATCTGTTTTACTCTTCAAAGGATGGGAAATGGTTCTTCAGAAATTATTAACCCACAATTTCCAGCAGCTCTGACCTGCATGGTCAATTGTGCTATTGGAAATTCTAATTCAGCAGCATCCAGAGAGCCAGGAGTTTCTTGTGCCTGCTTAATTATTTATTCTATTCATTTTTCTAAGGGAACATTCATGGGAAGGACTTTATTGGTGAATCAAATAATACTTTCCTGGTTCCCATCCTAGAAAAAAACTTTGAGCACATGATAGCAACATTGTTTTGTAGGTCAGTGAGAACCTGTTCAGATGCACCACTTAACATGCTATTGTGTGCTGTCTAAGCCAATCAGAGAACATATTTATCTTGTTAAATGCCACCAAGTAAGCAGCATACATAAATCTGAAAAACTGTTAAGAAAATATTGTGTAGCATACATACTTGGGGGCTGAGTTTGAGCTGCAGAAACATGTTCATTTAAGTTGTTCAATGAATCGACAGCATAAAGTTTCCCTTCTTCGTATGAATTTTTAAAGACACTTTCAGAAGAACTCTTCATGATACCTATGAGATGACAACAGACTTTATTTAAAAAGGATTGTTGGAATTTTTTTTAGGAGTTGGACCTAAGTATGCCCAAGATAAGGGAAAGGTACATGTGCTAGTCATGCAGCATAGGCTATATGTAAATATGCACATTTGAATGATTATATATAAACTCTCTGAATGGCCAGAATTCCTTAAAGCAATCTTTTCCTCTCATCTACGCTGCTCAGCTGCAAAATTGCATTGAATTACACTGCTTACTCAGCCTATGCTACATAAATGCTATATATGAATTTTGTTTACTGCTACTTCTTGATTCATTGATTGCTTATTTTCTGTCAATCTTAGAACTTAAACAGAGACCACTTTTAAGTTTAATTAAATGTTCAATTATTAAGGGAAAACTGTGGAAACATGCATGATGCTTTCAAATATTATGACATCATAAAACCCAGAAAACTTCATTCTGTTCCAACTATTGAGGGCTGTAATAAGAATATATAATTATAAAGAATTACAAAGAATGGGTCATGCTGATTAGAAAAATATGTATACAACACTGATTGAATTCAGAACAGATGGGTTATTGTTCCTTTGGGAAAATATCATGTGTTGGAAAGGAATAACATCCAACAGCCACATCATTATTGCTATTTTGGGATTGTCCCTTTGGAAGCCGTTCAGGATAAGCTCAACAGCTAGATCAGACTGCATTTAAAAACATGTTCTGCAGTTCTCTGAATCTATACCACCAGTATTGGGGTTGTTTGATATTTTGAAGGTGGGTGCTCTATTTTTCCCTAGAGGCAAGAAGCAAAAATTAGGAAACAGGATGCTAATTAAATCTAGCTCAAATATATTTATCTAATATATACGGTGATTGATTTTAAATATCATCTGAAATATCTAAAGCTTGCTATCCCATTATACATTTATGATTCTTGAACAATTAAAACCATAATGCTATATCCATTTTTTACTTTCCGACTGACTAGAGGTAGAAAATGGCAACTTTCTTTACAGAGTACTCAGGACTAATTCTTTAAGTTACCACTATCATCTGTCATATGAATAACTAACATACAGAGACTATCAATAAATAAATAAATAAATAAATACTTCAGTTCATGAAAGAATAAATTCTTAACACATTTAAAGGCTTAGAGAACGGAATATTACTCACATCTAAACCATCCCCAACTAATATATTTTCTTTCACAATAAAATGCTGGAAATATGCATATATCAGCAATGTTGTTCCTTTCTCTTCTCCAAATCCACTTGAATGTGTTAATGAGAACCACAAGCTCAGCCCTGAAGCAGAGTGATGTTGCCATCTATATTTAGTACTCGTTTCAGTAAAGTTGTCAGGTTTCAAATACTTGATTGGACACGGTAAATTAAAAGCCAACATGTAGACAGCACTGTTAATTTTACATTTACAAATGTGCTGATGATCTTTGCTTTATATCATCCTCTTCTTCATTATAGTCAGGTTTCTGAAAACCAGCAGAACATTATCAGGGTGGGAACTAAATGGGTCTCTAAGGGGAAACCTTTTCAGAGGGCAGGTATGCAACACAGAAGAAGGTCTCCTAAGTCCCAATAGACGGCATTATTTCATCAAAGGCACTTGAAACTCTTCCTGAGCTTACTAAATTTGCATCTGTCTTTACACAAAGGGAAAAAACAGACCAACCTACCAAAAATAGTGCCATAAAAAATAGAATAGAAATGCAAGTTAAGATAGGCAAGAAACCGGTAAGTGAGCACCTCTCCAGACTAGACAAGTTCAAATCACCAGGACCAGATGGATTACACCTCAGGGTTTCTCAAGGAACTGGCAGATGTGATCTCAGAACCATTGAACTATATTTTTCAAAGATCCTGGAGCACTGGGGAACTACCGGAGAACTGGAAAAGAGCTGATGTAGTTCCCATCTTCAAAAAAGGAAAAAAAATGGACCCAGAAAATTACAGACCTATCAGCCTGACCACAATACCTGGGAAGATTCTGGAAAACATAATCGAACAATGAATCAGCGAACACCTAGAGGCAAACAAAGTCATTACTAAAAACCAACACGGGTTTGTCAAAAACAGATCATGCCAGACAAATCTTATTGCATTCTTTGACCAAGTGACAAAATTAGTGGATCAGAGGAATGCTGTGGATATAATTTACTTTACTTAAGGCATTTGATAAAGTAGATCACAACCTACTACTTGATAAGATAGAAAAATGTGGGTTAGACAGCATCACCACCAGATGGATTCGTAGCTGGCTGACCGGCCGTACTCAGCGTGTGGTCCTTAATGGAACCGCATCTACATGGAGGGAAGTGTGTAGTGGGCTGCCCCAGGGCTCTGTTCTGGGCCCAGTGCTCTTCAACATCTTCATCAATGATTTGGACGAGGGGATAGATGGGGAACTCATCAAATTTGGAGCTGACACTAAGCTGGCAGGAATAGCCAACACTCCAGAAGATCGGCTTAAGATACAGAAGGATCTTGACAGACTTGAACATTGGGCGCTATCTAATAAAATTAAATTCAATGGTGAAAAAAGTAAAGTTCTACATTTAGGCAAGAAAAATCAAATGTACAGGTATAGTATAGGGGGTATCTTGCTCAACAGTAGTAACTGTGAGAGGGATCTCGGAGTCCTAGTGGACAATCACTTAAATATGAGCCAGCAGTGTGCTACAGCTGCCAAAAAAAGCCAACACAGTGTTAGGCTGCATTAACAGAGGGATAGAATCAAGATCACGTGAAGTATTAATACCACTTTACAATGCCTTGGTAAGGCCACACTTGGGATACTGAGTCCAGTTTTGGTCACCACGATGTAAAAAAGATGTTGAGACTCTAGAAAGAGTACAGAGAAGAGCAACAAAGATGGTTAGGGGACTGGAGGCTAAAACATATAAGGAACGGTTGCTGGAATTGGGTATGTCTATTTTAATGAAGAGAAGGACAAGGGGGGACCTGATAGCAGTGTTCCAATATCTCACAGGCTGCCACAAAGAAGAGGGAGTCAAGCTATTTTCCAAGGCCCCTGAAGGCAGGACAAGAAGCAACGGATGGAAACTAATCAAGGAGAGAAGCAACCTAGAACTAAGTAGAAACTTCCTGACAGTTAGAACAATTAACCAGTGGAACAACCTGCCTCCAGAAGCGGTGAATGCTCCAACACTGGAAGTTTTTAAGAAGAGACTGGACAGCCATTTGTCCGAAATGGTATAGGGTTTCCTGCCTGAGCAGGGGGTTGGACTAGATGACCTCCAAGGTCCCTTCCAACTTTATTATTATTATTATTATTATTATTATTATTATTATTATTATTATTATTACTACTACTACTACTACTACTACTACTACTACTATTATTAAATAGTCAGGGAGATAGGGGGTCCCGCTAATAAAGAGTATTCCAAAATAATTGTTTCCCTTAAAACAGTTCTGTATTTTTTGTGTGCCTTTTAATATTTTAAAGATTTTTTGCTTATCCAGTTTATCTTCCCACCATGTATCTTTTTCCATCTCTCCCATTAAAATAACTCTACATACTTTTCGGGCACTTTGTCAGGTTTCCCCCCCCCCTCTGTTCCATGCAGTGTCCACCACCTTCCACTCCTTCTCTTGAGAAATTAGTCTGCCTTTTAATACTTTTCCAGGGAGATAGTTCTTTCTTGTATTTCCTCTTGCTGTAGTTATTCCATTTTCTCACTAGATTCTTTCACTTTTCCTATTCTTTATTGTTAATTAAGATCCAGTCTTGATATTGTTCTTCCGATTTGATGTCGCAGCGATACGGGTGCAGGAAGATGGGGTTCCGTCTTTCGTGTTCGATTTTGCCCCACTGGGGTACCCTTGAAAGGGTCAAAAGTGAGGATTTCCGGTGACCGTTGCTGAGTCTAGACCCAGGGAATTGACTCTCTGTCCCCTTCTTGTGGAAAACGAAAGAACTCTTACAAATTCCAGAGGGGTTTAGCAGAGAAGTTTATTTGCGCAAGGTTCAGAGCATATTAGAGATAGGCAATTCTGAATGAGGAGGGCGGGATTAGACTTCAGTTTTTATACTACCCTCCTTAAAGAACAAAGGGCTACACATTGAAATACACACTGTGATACATTAGGAGCACTTCTCCCAGGCATACAATGGAAGGTTTTGCTACATACAAAGTATCCATGTGCAAAGCGCATTTGGTTGCCACATATTACTGACAGAGAACTTTCCCAGTGAATTTTCCCAGTGATTATGCATTACATCATTGTTCTAGCAATTATGCAGACACATCATTATTGCAGTTATGCAGACAAATCATTATTCTAATAATTGT